AAAAATTAATCGAACTCTGGGCATATTTCGCGCTATCGGTAAGAAAAAAGGCGTGGACTTCCTAGCTAAATGTTCTTCCGCGGTACTCTCTGACAAGACAATAAGGTCTTCTTAGTGCACCTAATATAAAATTTAAAAAAACGAAAACAAAATAAAAAAGAAATAAAGCCAAGAAATGTTATCTGCGTTTAGGTCGACGTCTGTTGCAAAAAAAGCTTTCAAAAAAATAAGGTACTCTTTATACACATACATTATGCAATCCTCGGAATTAGGAAAAATGAAGTCGGCAAAAATTTTCCGACCTCAATCTTTTAGAGGTCGGCAAAAAAATTTGATACAAAGGGTTTAGGCCGGGTGAATAAAAATGAGCAATTGCTTTTACTCAGTAACTGATCAGCTTTACGTCAATAAAAACTTTAGCAGCTTTGCTCAAATTTTTATTCACGTAAAGTAAAGCAATTTACTCAGCAATTTCTCAGTTTTACGTGAACAAAATTTTAAGTAAAATTGATGATGTTTTTATTCACTTAAACCTGACCAATTACTGAGTAACAGCAATTGCTCATTTTTATTCACCCGGCCTTTTGTTAATAAACATAGAACTGAGGTCGGCAGTTTTTTGCAGACTGCAAACACTTTTATTTCGGCAGTTAGGTCGGCATTGCCGTTTACCGAGCCTAGTTCCGAGGGCTGCATTATATAATTAAAAATAGATTTGTAATTAAACTTCAAGATAGACATTTTGAAGAGCTAAACAAACCAATCTAATACCAAAATTATCCCAGATTTTTACGGTCCCAATAACCAGAAAGCTGAGGTTAAAACTTTGTCGTGTAAAGAAACCATCTTATAGTTTTAACAAAGACAAAAACTAAAAATAACCTTCTTTTTCTTAATTATGTACAAAAAACAAATATTATTGATTTGAAATTTAAGTAAATTACAAAGTATCTTAAAATTTGAATGCTTTATGATATTGGTAAACTAAGCTCTAGACCTTTGTTCTTTGTACTTTTGCTCTATTTCCTTACCAAGCGAGCATTTTTTTTTTGAAGTTACGTTCTAAATGACTTTTAAATGTCTTTTAAACGTCTTCTAAACATTCTTACGTAAAGAACGTTTAAAAGACGTTAAAAAACGTTTAAAAGACATTTAGAATGTAACTTTCAAAAACAAATGTCCGAAGGGTAGGATACTTATTATTTGTCGTTTTTGTGCTTCAAAGGGGCACCGTAATTAAAACTTACACTTCAATGGGGGGGGGGCGCATTTTTAGGGGCCCTTATCAAAAATTAAAAAAAAAAATTGTATTTTTTATAAAAAAAATATTTAAATATATATAGTTACTGTTACTATTAATAAAAAAACTTTTAGTCACAATATTACCTAATTTGTACAAGCGTAAAAAAAGCAATTATATTTTTAATGCAAAAAAAAAAAAAGAATTAAGACTCCCGAGGTCCGAATTATATTATAAAAAGCAAGCTTTATAAATTTATTATTTTTATTTACGATTTCGAATTGATTTTTTTTATTATTATTATACGTTGTTAATTTTTTGTATTATAAAAAACAAACAATGAAAGAAGGTTTGCAAAAATTTATACTTATCTTTCGTTAGTTTTTCACAATATAAATATTGGTATGAAAAAAGTGAAAAGTAGTGTAACTAAGAGAATTGAAAAGGCTGCAGCCACGGAGAAAATCACAAAACACCCCAAACTAACACATTTTTTGAAACCAGCAGTTTAGCCTGAAAGTGTTTCGACACCAACAGAAATTACAAATATTTATGATTGTCATTATTTGAATAGAGTCAGATAGGTTGATATGTGAGTCTACATCAAATGACATAACAATTCCGTCTATTTTCACTGAATTATTATAACAGCAAGGTAAAACGGACATGGCTCGTATATTCTTTGAATAGCAATAAAGTGTTTTGTTTTTGTTGCAAACTTTTTGGGATAATTTCTTCACCAATCCGACAAGTAATGAACACTTGGGAAGGCTTATCAAAAAAACTTAAAGAACACGAAACATGATGTGCACATTTTAAATACTTTAAACACTGGATGACTTAACGAAAAGGTTGACTCATATTTCTTTAATTTATTGCTTTGTTACTTTTTTTTCCTAATTAATTTTTTCCCCTCAATTTTGGTATTGCAGGCATTGCAAATCAAGCTACAATAGACGGGCAACAACAAAAGTTGCTCGTCTATGCAGTGCAGTGTTAGAAAGGATACTGGACATTACCTTATTTCTTTCTGCAAGAAGTCTTGAATTCCGTGGTTCAGACACAGCCATTGGTTCAAAGAGCAATGGAAACTTTCTTGGGGTGTTTGAATTACTGGCTAAATACGATACCGTTCTCAATGAGCTTATGTAAAGAATTTAGGACAAAGAAACAAAGGAACACTATTTGAGCAATGACACACAAAACGAGGTTTTAGGAGGTGATTGAATCCAAAAACATCTCTAAGGTAAAAAAAGCAAATAATTATTCTATTATTTAAGATTGTACGCCATGCATTTTGCATAAAGAACAAATGAGCATTAGTCATCTATCAGTGCAGTTGTATTTTTAGGTGTTCTTTCAAGGTTATATACACTCTTTTCATTTTTTCCTCCTCGATGGGAAATTTTAAAATTGTGCGTGGCTATTTCTGTCTAACCACAATCAGATACCAGATAGGAAAGTAGAATAAACTGTGTTAAACCACTTAACTGTTATTTAAAAGAAATCTTAGATACACTCGAAAGTTTGGATGAACATGGCTTAAATAAGAGAAAGGGCTACAGCCACAGAAGTACGATCGCTCACGGAATATATTAGAACATGGCCTTTTTTTATTATCAATCGTTACTTGATATGATGTTTTATTTCAAATCAACAAATCAAGTAAGGTTTTTCAGTCTTCTGCAACCTCTTTCGACATATTAGTAGTGAAATAAAGGCAACATATGCATTTCTTAATGAGTATCGCAAAAATGGATTTTCCGACGCACGTATTAAGGCATCAGAAATCGCAGAAGTATTGGGCATTGAAAAGGTTTTACCAGTAGTTCGTTTACGAAAAAAAAATGCTGATTTATTCATACGAGTGCGTTGATCACACTCGGCAACCTGAATATCAGTATAAAGCATCTTTTTCCCCCCATTAATTGGTATGTTAATTGCATCAGTAAGAAAGCGTTTGAACAGATCAGCATTGTCACAAAGCTTAATGACTTTTTTTACCAATCTGAAAGTCTTATCAAAGCCTGTAATGAAAATTCTTTGTCTATAAATTTCAAAAGTTTGCAAATGAAGCTTGGTGATATAGAGGCTTTAAGTCTTTAGAAATAGAGTTAAAACGATTTGGCATAGTTAACAAGGTGGGAAAAAATGCCTCAAAAAAGAGCTGCAAGAAACTTATCCCAATCTAGTTGTTGCATTACGAACCATTCTTACTTTATTAGCTACTGTTGCAAGTGTAGAACGTAGTTTTAGCAAGTTAAAACTAATTAAAACTTTTCATAGGTTAGTATAAATAATCTTGCTTCATTACACTTAAATACATGTAGCTATATTTCTTTGTATCTTTAAATAGGTCAACAATCTTCTTTTTTACCAACGCTGTCGATTGAAATCGAGGTGGCAAGGAAATTAAGTTATGAAGACATAATAAATGAGTTTGCAAGCATGAAAATAATCGCAAACCCTTTTTTTTACTAGTGTGCGACGTACTTGTATTATCTGCGTAATACATTAACTGTATTTAAAAAAACTCTTTACTAGTAAATTCTATATCAATTTAACAATTATAAAATACATTTAATTGAATTTAAGCGTTAACTTGATTGTTTTTAGTCTTATGAACGGCGACGTTAAAATTTTTCAGGTACCATGCTTTTTGGGGTAGTCTGTAAATGTTATCCACTTTTTTAGAAAGAATAAATAAAAAATTAGGGCCCAAATTACTAGTTTTGGGGATGGCCCAGACCTATTTGTCACGGCACTGTATATATATATATATATATATATATATATATATATATATATATATATATATATATATATATATATATTCAAGGTTGTTTTGTCATATAATAATAAAACAAAACTCATAGTCGAAAAAGAGTGCTCAATATTAAAAAGATATTTCAAATAGAGCGATATACATACACACACACACATATATATATATATATATATATATATATATATATATATATATATATATATATATATATATATATATATATATATAATGCTTAAGTACTTATGAAGTTGATTAAAAAAACCAATACAAAAGTAATTATCTGTATTAAAATTATTAAAAATATAATTACTAATAGAATAAATTCAATTAAGAACAGAAAGCGTTATTTGGACATGGTTAACTTGTATCGGTTTTAAACTGTATTGGTTTTGTATTTGTTTGTTTTTTTATCACTTCTATAGGTTTTTACGCAAAGTTTAAATATTTAATTTTAACTGAAGATGTTTATTGGTAGTCGAAACATGTATTATTTTTATTAATAAAATGATTTTAATTAAAAAGTTTGTCTCGTTTATATTGACGCTTTTTATGCTTAAAAGAAATTACATTTATCTTTTATTATAAGTCTGACATGATTTATTGTTTGTAAATGTTATACTTTTTGTGACTTGGTACAATTATTTTGCAAACAAATTATTTCAGTAACTTTCAAATTGATATTTTATATGATTTATATTATAAAATATTAATTTGATATCGTGCATATAAATTTAAGATTTATAAATTTAAGATTTATATGCACGATTGTGCATATTAATCTTAATCTTAAATTTAAAATAATTACTAAAAAATAAAATAACTTGCAAAAGAATAATTTTCATATCAAGTAAATATTGAAACTTAAATTAAGCAAGTAAAATTTTTTTTAAAAAAGTTAAAAATAAAAGCTTAAAATATCAAGTAAAATAATCAAATCTAAAGCAAAAATTTTATAGTACAAGACAAAAAATATTTAAAAACACCTGCAAATCTCATATAAATATCTATATCTAAATATACATATTTTAAAAACAATGTCTTTATACACATACATGTGTTTAGTTACATATATGTGTTTATGTACATACATGTTTTGCATATTGCATTATTAAATAAAGTTCTATACACTTTTAAAATATTTTTTTACATCAAACTGATGGGCTGAGAAAAATAGTTTTTTGGAAAAATAAAAGGTAACTAAATAATAATAGATAAATTGAAAAGTAATTAAGGTTACGAGACGTTAAACTTAAAACCATTTAAAAAGGTAACATTTTCGATCTTGTCCAGAATTTTTCTTTTAATGTGCTCGTCCCAGTATACAAAACGTCTGGTAAAAGTTTCATTTTTGAAAACAATACTTGAAGCTTTTTCAAGATACTCATTGTCACATATAATTTCTAAAAACTCACAAATTCTAAGCAAACTCTTCTTCGCATCCATAATAATATTTCCATAATAAACATCTAAAATCTGTCCTGTATATTGTTTTCGTAGTTTAACATTCATATCCACCAGATTTAAGTAAATTCTCGTTTGTTTCTTTAACTCTCCCAAATTGTAAATCTAAAAAAAGGTATTCAAGCATATAATTTGTTTGTTAAAATTTTTTTCTTTTTAAACAAATTTAACAATTTAAAAAAAATTTAAGAAACAATTAAACGTTGTTTATCCAGAAAGCATATAATTTGTGTTTGTTAAAATTTTTTCTTTTTTAAACAAATTTAATAATTTTAAAACATTTCTTAACTGTGTTCAACATTTCTTAAGCTTTTTTAAACAAAAAGCTTAAGAAATAATTGAACACAGTATACCCAGTAAGCTCAAGACATACTTTTCTTAAACATGTCTTGTGCCCACTGGTTAACCTAAAATTAAATAAAACTTAAAATAAATAAAAAACATTTACAAAATTAAAAATATACAACATATTAAAGTTGAACAATAAATAAAATCATATAAGTTTGAAATGAAGACATTGGAAACTTTTTCATTGTTGGAGATAGTAGGAAAAACCTACCAGCACCTTCAACATTGTGATGATAAAAAATTTGTATTTCTTAAAATCTTCTAAAATTTATAGTAATAAAAAAAAGTTTTAATTTTTATAAACAAATTATGTATAAATCTATTGTAATTAATAACTTATAAATTATACCTAAATGTAGATAAATCTTAGTATAAAATACAGACCATCAAAAAAAAATTTTCATAACTTTTAAACATTCAATTTTTTAAATAATTAGAATTAGTTTTTAAACAAAATTAAAACTTATTTTGAAGTCTAAGTAACCTTTTTTTTTTCCTTTTCAACTTTAATTCTTAAACCATTGTGACTGGCACGCAGCATCATTGTTGCAACATTATCGAATGGATTTCTTATTATGTGTATGAACTTGATTTGCGTTTTTAATGCAGCTTTTAGTTCATTATAATGATTTTTATTATTTGCCAATGCTCTTGTTGTTGTACTACATTTTTTATCTCCAATGACCTTTAAAAAAATATTTTTTATTGCTGTTACACTTTTAAAATAACTAAAGTATGTAACAATAATCTAATAATGTAGCCTAATAAATCTAATCAGCCTAATGATCTAATCTAATCCCTATAAAAATAGTAAAACATTAAATTAGAAAGAATTGTAATTTACAAGATGCCTTAGTGGAGAGTTTAAGGTGCCATAAACTTAATCATGATTTCTCTGAAACAATTTCACTGATATATAGAATGTAGCTTGTAATCAATGGTGATATATATACATATATGTATGAATGTATATATATATATATATATATATATATATATATATATATATATATATATATATATATATATATATAAGCAGTTAGGTTTTTTTACAAAAACATAGATAAAAAATAATTTCATACCTTTATTCACAATGTAATTAACAATTACACTTTAAATTAAACTTTTACCAACTATAATCAACATCTGTCTGTCAATATCTTATATATATAACCAACTATCTGTCAATATTATTTACATTTTTGATTCATCAAAATGCCCACCTTTATTTTTAATCACAGCTGCGCAAATTTGGGGCATTATATTTATTAATTTAGTAAAATATTCACTATCTAATGAGTACCATTCTGTTTGTAGGTATTCCCAAATGTGCCTAGCACTACTTGGAGATCTATTTTTAACCCTTCTATCCAACTCGTCCTAAACTAGCTCATTTGGTGACAAATCAGATGATTAGGATGGCCATATCATAATTTCTATAAGTTTTTCTTGTTTTTTCTCATTTAAATAGGACATACACAATTTTGAAGCATGTTTCAGATCATTATCCTGTTGAAATATGAAATTTGATCAAATAATTTCATTTCCAGAAGGCAAAGTGTGGTCCTGCAAAATTTAAAAATATCCTTCTTTGTTAAGTTTGCCATCTATTTTTACTAATTTTCCTGGCTTATTATTTCCATAACATCCCCAAACCATTACATTACCTCCACCATGTTTAATTGATGGCACTGTACACTCTGGCAAATCCTTTTCATTCTTAGATCGTTGGACAAAAAACCTTCTGTTTGAACCGAAAATTTGAAAATTTCGATTCGTCCCTCAAAAGTATAATTTTCCATTTTTCAAGCGTCCAATCTTTATGAGTTTTAGCCCAAGCCAACCTGTTTTTCTTATGTTATTTTGTTAATTTCGGTTTTTTAGCTGCTACACATCCTCGGAGACGGTTTCGCTTTGAAGTTAATTTTATAAATTGATCTTCATTTACTGTTGTAATGTTGGGTCTCCCACTACGTTTCCTGTCTTGATTACTGTTGGTTTCTTGTTGCCTTTTTAATGTATAATGAACCCCTTTTGCATAAACACTCAGTTTTTTTGCAATTTCTCTCTCACTATACCCTTCCCCTCTAAGTGTACAAATTGCACTTTATTTATCAATTGTTAACTGTGATCGTTTTGCCATTATAAAAATAAAAAATAAAAATTTGTCTAAAACACCACTCGACTATAATTGGTTTAGCGCAATGATATTAAAAAGATAACTGATCGGTCTGCTAGTAAATAACTGAATGAAAGATGTTTACTAATAACTTTGGTAACATAATTTTACTGATTTCATGTTCAGACAGGTTTGGACGTGTTTGTTTTGTTTATTAGATAAAATGACTTCAAAGCATTTATTATCTTTAAACATAAATAAAAATAGTTATATAAATCAGATTCGATTAAAAACATACAAAAGTATATTGACTTGTTAGAAATGAAGTAATTATATTATAAAAATCGGGTTCATCAATATATATTGACATTATATTCAATTTTTCAAAAAAAATTAACTGCTTTCAAACTTTTGAGCGGTAGTGTGTATATATATATATATATATATATATATATATATATATATATATATATATATTATATATATATATATATATATATATATATATATATATATGAGTTACCAGGAAGCAAATTGTTAAAGAGGAAGAAAATGATTGACAATAGATTTAAAAACTGCAAATTTTAAGTCAGGAAAACATAAAGATGGGAGAGAGTTCCAAAACTTTGATGTGCAAGAAAAAAAACAACAAGTTTCAACATGTTGTTTTGGCTGTATTCCATACAGCCAAAACAACAGTATTCCATACAGGGATGAATAACAGATTTGTAGAAGTTGAAAATTACAATCACAATCAAACTAGGCAACCTTAGCAGATCTTAACTTTGCAATCAATTGTATATATAGTTCCGGGAGAGGCCAATAGTGAAAGATAATTATTTTTTATAATTAAATATTTCACAGGTTGTTAAAGGTTTGTTATTAACATTCCTTCTGATTTTTTAAAGCTATTACATTTTCCCCTGGCAAACTATTATATAAACAAAAATTAAAAAACTAATGATGAAAAATAAAAAGTAGTATAGAAGAATATTAAGGAAGTTTATAAACTTTATTAACACTTTTATTAATTTTACTAAGTTAAATAATTAACTTAAAAAAAGCTAATTAAAACTAAACCTAATTAAAAAATTAACATACTTGAATTGGGTCTTGATAAAGACCTTGCCATAGTCCTGGTACATAATATTGAAAAAAATACTTTTTCGATACTGCACGTTGATGTCTCGTTTCTGCAACTGAATTATTCCATAACTGATTACAAATGTAGTGCTTATTTTTTTGTTTATCTGTAAAATTTTTCCATTTAATAAACAAGTTATACTCATTAGCAATAATCACACTAGGATGGGCGTCAAGCAACGAACCAGTAAGTGTAGATCCACTACGAGGATAGCCAATAAAAAGTAGAAAAGTCTTGAGTTTTGAAAAATTCGGAGTAGAAAAAACTTTATTTTTTGGAATTGTACTTTTTTTCGAATCTAAATACAACAGTACATAATTTTGCTAAACAAATATTTTACAAACTAGGTTTTTTGTAAACTAGAATATAAAAAACTAAAATATAAATTATTTATTTCTAAACTGCACTAAGATTTTTTTAAAAAGAAGCAAAAGGTCATGTGATAAACCGCGCGTAATTGAAATTTTTGAAAACAAACTAAAAGCAGATTAAAAATAGATTTAGTCTGCTACCTGTCTGTCGTTCTAGCTGAAAACTTTCATAAACGAAGGGTTCTCGTATTTCTAGTCTTAAAACTCGTTGAACACGACGTCCATATCTTTCAACTAATGAATTCATAAACACTAATATAACAGCACTTGCAATCATTAAAGAAGTAAATATATTCAACCTAAGCAACATGCCGCTTCATTTCGTCTTACACTAAAAAAACTAATCTTTCTAAATCTTTAATACAAAACTTTTGCAAAACAAGATTGAATATGCTTAGTACTTGGAGCCAAAGTTATTTAGTAAAGTTAATCATCCTTTTGTTTAATTTAGGTTTTTGGTTTAACTTTAATCAAAACTATGACGCAAAGAACGCAGGTGAGTACCGTCATAAATTAATTAACTAAATTC